CCCACCCACACCCACACCCACACCCACACCCACACCCACACCCACACCCACACCCACACCCACACCCACATCTTTTAATCGATTTTTTAACAAAAGCAATCAAAAAAATCAAAATTATATTAAGTATTTCAATTGGGTCCAATTAATTTTGATTATAATGGATTAAAAGTTCATTAGAAACATGAATTTTAATGATTTCTGCTCATGATGAATCAAGCCTGCAACTGATTTTCATCGCCTTGAATACATTATAATCCATCTTTTTCATTACTTTGTAATGGATTATTATAGAAATTGTGATCAATCGCAATTCTTAATAAAATTTTGATGTTTTTGATTGTTGTTTATTAAAACCGTTTGAAAGGTGTGATTTGTGTCGATTTAAATCTAGTTTTACCCCTGATTCTTTTACACGACATACCATATTATCCACTCAAGTCCATTTCGATGGAGCAAGCATTCTCTAACGTGCATAACATTTAATTTTCGGCTATGACCACTCCAATTAATCAATGGATAATTGGCGTAATCAGTGACGAGATTTTCCATTTGCATCCGATGTTCGTAATGAACTGATTCCGGTGGGATCTTTGTCCTCGAATACGGCGAAATCCGATGACCAGAACTGCTCTTTTCCGGTATGATCCGACAGATTCCGATGACAGTTTTTGAAGGAGTTTTCTCCGGAAATCAAGTCCAGTTTTAAGTGATACATTCCGGTGATTTCCTGGCCACAGATCATATCGTAAACGACCGAATCATATGTACCGAATCCGATCGTTTTCGGCATGGTAAATCCGATCGGAAATCAGCGAATTCGTTGACCGGATTTCGATGGGAAACTGCGTAAATAATCGGAATACACCGGAAAGAAACCGGCAGGATCCGATCACCGGATATCACCGGATTTTGAACTCGCCCGACAGGATTCGACGCCCCCAACTTGACCTGGGTCCCTTGAATCATAGGAAGACATGTTTTACTTATTACTCGGCCAATACTTCCGGTAGATAACTGCAATAATAAACAATGTTAAATTTTGATAAAATTGCAGTGAAATATCAACGAAAACGATCAAAATTACATTGACCCTTGTTACAGACTGCATGCATAATATATCGAAGCTGACCTGATATAAGACAAGTGAGAATTCACATTGCTTGGGAAACAGTACCCTTGCGTAACCATCAACTTAATATTGGTCAAAATAACAGCCTATTTTCCAAATTCTAAACAAAATAACGGCCTACTTTCCAAGATCTAAACAACTTTTTCTTCCAAATACCTACCCAATATCTTGAAGAACTTTTCACGCTTTATTATTGTACTTCCTTTTGCCCCTTTATTTTATTTTATCTTATATATGATATTCACTGTTTCTGAACGGTTTAAATCTTTAAACTCTAAGTTTTGCTTCATGCTTATACTACGTAATGCAGAGCCCTGAAGAGTGTTTCAATATTTCAATAAAATACACGAAGCGCGTCGGCGAAATAGACTCTGCATTTTTTCATTAACTTTAAATCAAGAACATTTATATATTATTCTATTGTTATTTAGCTTTTGGCTGAATCGATTGCTGAAAAGCAAGAATTGAGATTAGCAGATTGATCTTGTCTTTTCGTTAAGAGATAGGTCGGTCTGTTTCTATTTGATTACACGAAATCACACTTGAGAATAAAAAAAGATGATGCTAGAGAACAAAAAAAGAGAAAGAGAGCGAGACCAGAAAGAGATGGTGTAATGTTTGTCGATGTCGACATTATCGACGCATCCTCACTTTCTAGGCGTCACCCATTGTTCATCCGGAATATGGGTAGTGGTTACTTCTTCTCTTTTGTGGGTTTGAGGATTTATTCTGGTTACTGTAAGTTTATACTGAGGACTGTTTTCAGAACTTGCTGGATGACCAAAGATTGTCTGCGTGTGCGTAGGGCCAAATAAATCTGGTTGATTTTGATCATTTTTTCTATTATGCAGAACAAGTGTAGCATTGCCAGCGAAGCCGTAAGTTGTTTCCTTATTTTTCCCGGACATAGTTATGAGGACCGGTTTCGTTAAAGGAAATGTCACTTCTGCTTTAACAAATTGTCGATCTTCCGAAAATCTTTGATTTCCAAGGATGTAGCTCATGCCCTCTCTGACACATTTGATTTGATCATTTTCGTTAATGAAATTTGTATGTCTTGATTTTTGAGCTATCTCATTAAGCGTCAGGTTGCCTTGTACATGGTCTTTTGGGTGTCCTTCTGCGTTTGACCCATAAGGTTTAACACCCTGAGATTCATCTAACATGGATCTTTCTTCACCAAGATGATGCTTAAATCCTCCTAATGTTAGTGCATCCCTTTTATCCTGCTCTAATCGTGTAATATCATGAGCTTGATTTGCAAGATTACACTTATCATTTTCCATTCTGGCAGCGGTCTCTTCTCTTAATTGCTTGGGATCTTTTTCTGTAGCTTGCGCGACAACATTAAACAAACAATTATTTTTTCCGGTATCACCAACAGTTGGTTCTTTTCCTCCGGGTAAAGTCCAATGTCCAGAAGGATTAGTTTCATTTGGTTTATGATATTGAACTTCGATAGGTTCACCACCTTTATCTTCTCCAATAATGCGCATGAGTTGTCCGTTTTCATCTAACACTTTTATTCGTCTTCCTGCTGCATCGCTTAAGGGTCCTAAATGCGGTAATCCAGCCTCTCCCCCATTTTTCAATTGATCTATCATTTCATCCGCCTTGGCTACTGCAGTTTCGTCCGCTATCCCTTTCTTATACTCTTTTCCTATCCGATTATTTTTATCTAGATCTTGAAAAAATTCGGTTCTTCTTTCCGCCTGATAAATTCCAATCTGATCTTGTAGACTTTTATCTAACCCTGATGTTAATTTTGTCATACCATAATTGATACCAGTCTGAGTAACAGGAGTAATTAATTTTTTCTGTATAATATTACACATTTTCGCAGATACACTTGTTGCTAATGTTCCACACAACACATCGGAAGATTTACTTTTTCTTTCCAATTGGATTTGTTGTTGTTCTACATCATTGTTAAGATCAATGTCGGTAGTTGATACTTCTGGAGTATAGTTCGATTCATAGTTTCGAGACGTTCCTTCTTTGTTCTTTTTTTTCCTATCATCTTTATTTTGCGCGTCTACTTTGCGTGGTTGATTTTCATTTGAGTTATTTTGATTTGCAGATTGTTGTTCATCAATTTTTTGTTCTTTGTATATTTTATCGATAACTTCATTTAATTTTTCTATGAAATTAGGTATAAACCTCTCTAATTCCGATAAGGCTTGCGTCACTTCATAAGTGGTTAATACGGCCGATAGACCTGCTATTTTTTGTGTGGCTATTCCTTTACCGATACCAACAGCTATGGTTAGTAGTGCACTTTGTTGTTTTTGTGAATTCAACAATTCCATTGCTTGATCTTTAATTAAAGTTTCATAACGACTATTTCGATTGATACCATCTAATTCTAGCATTTTTTTGACACGAGTATTCGCTAGTAATGCGTTTTGTATCGGCTGTTCAATTCGTTTCATTACTTCATCTTGTATAGCAGGCATCAAAGTTTTACTGACACCATAATCCACAAGTTGTGTCACTAATTCTTTCGCTACACCTTTAGCTAAACCTGCTCCAATCGCTTTTGCCGCTATTTTCCATCCTACTTTTACTGTCGTTGTCATTACTTGACCAATACTTTTAACTCCAGCAACTGCCGTTTTCGCAGCATCTTTTATTGCACCTAGTCCGGCACATACAAGAGATACAGTTAAACTAATGGCTTTTTGTATTCCATAGGATACCCAACTAAAATCTCGATTAATAATGCCATCTTTAACTGCTGTAATAAGATCACTCACTCCTTCAGTGATTAATCCCATACCAATGGAAGCACCAGCACCAAGAGTAAATACAGTAAGTGCTGCACCTGCAACTAATTGTGCTATACCAAGAGCGGCAACAGCAATAACTGCCTTCCAATCAATCGGTTTGATTTCTTTTATTTTGAAAGATCCCCGAAATCCATTGTTTTTATATTCTTCAATTTCATCCTTATAAAATGTAATATCGTGATCTTGGGGTAATGATTGTTCAATTTCAATATGTTCAATTTCAATATTGTGATCTTTTTTTCTTGCTTGACCAATAATTCCAAGTTCTTGTGATTCTCTATTTTGTTCTAAAAATTGAATTTGTTTATCAATATTATCTTTATCTTCTTGTTTAATATCTGTTCGTTCTTTTTGTTTTTTTAATTCTTGTATTTCATTATTCACTCCTTCTGTTCCAATTCCAATAGCTGATTCAATTGTATTTTTTTGTATACCAAACAATGTCATTTTATGTGATACTTGTTCAGATAAAGCTTGAGAATTTGATGCTTGTTGAATAATATGTAACATTGGTTCAAAATTGTCATTTATTATTTGTTTTGCTCGTTTAAAATCTTCAACTGCTTTATCAATTTCTTCTTCATATTTTTTACAACTACCTCCATATTTAGCAAGTCGTACGTATCCACGATTGTAATAAGCATTGACTTGAAAAGGTCCATCTAATTCTATTGCTCTCGTAAATTCCCTAATAGCATCTTGTCTTTTTTTGTTCGTTTTACCATTTAAATATTCATTTCCAATTAAAACATGAAAATATGGATTTTTGATTAAATTGCCTTTTTCTTTATCAGTTAATATTTCTTGTCGAAAGATTTTAAATCTATCTAGCATTTCTTCTTTCGTTGTTGTTGTCTCTTGCAGTTTTAACCAAATACCAAATCTATCTTCCACTGCTCGGATTTGAATTTTCAGTTCTGTGTTTTTCCAAATGAAATGTCCACCAATCTCCGTGAGTAACTTACAAAATTCTTCAAATATTGCATCTTTTATTGTTACTTTTTCTATTTCTTTCTCTGCTGTGTGTATTCCAATCTCTTCTTCTAGATTTCGAATTTCTTTTAATTTTAGATAATCATTTTCTTGTTTTTGTAGTAAAATAAATTGTCCAGTTCCTTTATTTCCTGTTCTCGATGTTCTTCCAACATTTTGTTGTTCCACTCGTTCATTCGGTGGCAGAAATGTAATTAAAACATGTAATCCACCATTTATTTCAATTTTACTCGCACGAATATCCGTTCCTCTCCCAGCAATATTCGTCGCAATAATTATTTCTCCAGGTGTCATTTGTTCTTCAATAGTTTTCGATTCATGTTCAGTTCTATATGTTTTGATTTTCGATTGATTATATCCAGCCTTAATCAATCGGTCTTTAATTTCATCAACTTCTTTGATGTATTTGGTAATTATCAAGACTCCTCGACCATTATTGAGTTTGTTCATTGAACTTTGAACAATATTCTCGTACCATTCATTTTCATTATTGACAATAATCGGTGTTAATTCTTGATATTGTTTCTTTTTAAAAGGTGGAATAATAACATTATCAACGTTATAGATATTACTTAATAATTTCCGAGCATTGTCACTTCCAAGTGTTCCGGTTAATCCATAAATATTTGAACCATATCGTTTAAAATAAGTGACATTTGAAAGAAAATTTGTTGTTAAACTTTCAGCAGATATTTTTGCCCCATGTTTGATTTGTAGAAATTGATGTAATCCATTATTCCAATGCATATTTGCCTGAACAATACCTGTATTACTGGCGTCTACTGGCGCAATTTTTCCATCTCTAAGAATGTAATGTTGTTCATTTTGACATCGATATTTAGCATAAATTGCACTATCAATCCATTTTGTTAGCTGACTTTCCACTACTAATTGTCTTAAATGTTTAGGAATTTCGATTTCGGGATATTTCTCAGGGATTTTTTTATCTTCCTCATCCGATAAATGTTCAATATCTCGAATGACTTTTCTTATATATTTTTCCGTACAAGTTTTAATAAAATCTTCTTTTGTACCATTGATCGGAGAAAGAAGTTCGGTTAGATCAGATTTGACAGTTCCATTCTCGTTGAATATATCCGGTTGATGAATATAATAACTTATACCATTTATATCTTTAATACATTTGGCCAATTCTCCAATTTGTGTCCAAATCGCTGCTAAAAGTGGTTCTAAATGATCCATTGCCGGCATTGGTGAGGACAACATCACAATATGATTTTTCCCATCAATTAACATTGAATCAACTTCATCAACAATTGCTACATCACACTTTCGACCATTTCGAGTGCCTAATTTACTGTATTCATCACGTAAAATATCGCCTTGAAAATTGCCTGCTGCACCGTAAACAATATCAGCCTTATATCGTTCTTTAATATCAATCGAATCATTTCCATTATGTGATACAGTTAAATTAAATTGTTGATAAAACTCTTTCTGTTGAATCGATTGTGGTGTGGCTAATTCCGGTGAACTCGTGATAATATCTACTTGGTGTCCTTCCAGAGCTTTGATTGCCGCTAACATTGCAACAATTGTTGTTTTACCTTCACCAGTATTGATTTGTGCCAGACGTCCCTTGCCTTTTTCAGAATTAATCATTATCAACACAGATAATAATTGAATTTCACGTGATGGAAATTTACTCGTAATTTCGACAGCCCTTTTTACAACTGCAATTTTTTCATATTGACTAACACAATTCGATGTTGATGCTTGGATCTTTTCACTCCAGTTTTTTATGTCTGATGTTGACCATTTTTCAATCAAACCAAAATCTAAACATACTGATGATTTACTTGCATATGCAATTTGAACCTTTTTATATTCTTCGATTAATTTTTCACCTTGCAAAAAAGAAATGTTTTGATTATGATTTAAATCTAATATCTCATCTTTTAATTGTTGCATATTTTTATCATAAGTTCCTTCGAATATTTGAAATATTGCTAAGTCATGTACTTGTTTTGTTAAACTATCGGAGAAGAGCGATGAAGATGATGATGTTAAAATATCGATTAAAGTTTTTCCTTTTATATTATTATCAAATTCTTTTAGACCATATTCATAGATTGGATCTAAGGCATCAAATAAACATTCGATTTTGTTAGTTGAATCAATGTGATCGATTATTTGTTTGATTGATTTTAACGCCCAACCAGAATGTAGAACTTTTGTTAACTTTCTATGTAATTTCTCAACTATTTCATATTCTTTTATATCGATTGGTTTATCAGTTTTAACTGATTGATTATTAGATAAACCTAAATTTGTACGTAAAATCTGTTTATTGGACTGATTTACTTCAACACAAATTTGATCTAAAAGTGTTTCAATTTGCTCCTCGGATATTTTCATTAATAATTCCTTTGAATCTAACTTTTTTTCTTTGTCTCCATTAATAATCGATAAATTTTGATCTAATACTTTCAGGACATTCTTTTCTATTGTATAATATTCTTTGATTTTCAGCAAATTTTGAATTTTTTTGTTCAATTCACTATCACTACGAAAATCGATTGGATTATTCCAAACTGTTTCTGCTGCTTCAATGACGTACAAATATTGATAATCTTTTTGTTTGATTAACTTTTCTTCTTTTGGTAAACAAATTGATAAACGTAATCCATTATCAAATTGACTTGTTCCATCAATTGTTATTGGACAGTTTAATTCAAGGATAGTTTTTAGGAATTTCAATTCAACTGAATGATGATTGACGATTTCTTGTCGTTTGGAAGATTGGAATAAACTCAATGCATACATCTTTGGAAATTGCTCACGACGATATTCATTCGCTTGTTTCTGTGTAATAAAGTTCGCATTTTGAAAACTGTCTATAAATGATTGTTGATTCTTATTAGATAAGTTTTTTGCCATATAATTCATATTTGCGAGAGTAAATACTCCACAATTATACCCATCCGATTGCTCGCATGATCGATGAAATTTAAATTCGACATTTTTTAATTGTTCGGTAAAGATTTTTTGTACTATTTCTCTTTCTTCAACAAGATTTTTTTCACCTAATGAATCTTTATACAATACAACATGTTGCTGTTTGTTTAGATTATAAATTACCGCTACGGTTACCCAATGATTTCCAGCAATATCCAATGGAATAATTGTCGGTTTCAAATCTTGTTTATATTCATTTAAAATTTTCGAGAGATCTCGATCAGCTTGTTGACCTAATGGTTGAGTAATTCGAAGATTATCAAATTCTTTCATCCATTCCGATGATATTTGTGCGATATCTTCTGCCGTGTACCAATATGTCGTATCTGCTTGATTGTATGCATTTTTTACAAACGGGACAGTACTTTTTTCCAGCGTATAATTTTGACTATCATGAAAATATTGTGCATAATCGGAAAACTTATTTGTTAATAACACACAAACTAATCGATCATTTAATTTGAATGTTAAAGTATTTAAACTAATCTTCTTAGTTATTTCTTTTGTTAGAAAAAGTTCCCTACTTTCAATTGTTAAACCAGATTGAAATAGTTCACTAAAAAATGAAATTAATTCATCAATTTTGATATTTTCATGAATTTGAGTAAAAACACAATTAATTATTTCGGGTCTATATGGTAAATAGGCATTGAATTCTCTTAAATTTTCATTGGTAAATTCAATACCAAAATCTGTCAATCGTTTATCTAACCATAACTCACGTAGTTGAACAAAAAAAGTTTGCTCTTGTTGTTGTTGTACAATATCCAATGCTTCTGTCGCGTTTGATTCAAATAACATTAGTAAAATATCATTGATTATTTCAAGACGGAGTTGATATAAAGTTTGCTGATCAATTAATGTTTGTAATAAATTTTCAATTGGATAGATTTCTGGATCAAGTGTAAGAATAAAATCGTTTATTAAACGAATATTATTTCGAAATTTCTCTAATTCAAATTCATTGATACCATCATCGAGATTCATTAATTTGAATGTTCCGGCTAATAAGTCACTAGACAAAATTTCTTTTCGCCATTCATTTGCAGGAAATTGTTTAAAAATATTCGGATCAATTCTTTCTCGATTGAACAATGTGTTATTGAGTGCACAGAGCAGATGGAATTTTTCACGAACATTTTGATTCCCGAAAATAAATTCATCTAATGGTTTCAAATCTTCAATCGAATTACCAAGTCGTGCTTTAAATTGGATATAATATTGTTTTAAAAATTCACTCTCTAAATGATTTTCTAAAATTTCAAATACTAATTTATTTAATAAATCCTCATTTGGGTTATTTCGCGCTTCTAATGCAACTTGTTTCAATGAAGTCATAATTGATATTATTTGAGAATAGTTTGAAGTTTGTTTTAATCCTTTTGATAAGATTTTTGCACAAAGAATTCTTGTTTCAATTGGTTCTGCTTTGTCAGTTAGAAAATGTCCAATTTTTTCCAATATGTTTATCGGTACCGGTTTCTGTTGAGTGACAACTGCTGCTGTTGCACAAATTAAATAATTTTTTAATTTCTGATCGATTGACGAAAATTGTTTCCAGAAATTTTGTATGATTTGATCTGGAAATTGTATATTTCGACTTAAAGCAATAGCCAGAATACCGATAACATCAACGAAGTTCAGTAATTTTGAATTTTGACTTATTCGGTTGATATTCGCATTGTTGAGACCTTGTCGAAGGTTTATTTCAAATAATATTTCACTAACCTCTGTGTAGACATATTGCTTTTGTCCTTGTTGATCAAAATTCATCAAAGTATCAATTAATATATTCACTTTATCTTCACTTATTGCACATCCCTGTTGAACACTTTTTTTCAAATTCTTCAATGAATTTCCATCAAGTTTTAATGTTTGTAAAATCACAAGTTCACGTAATTCATCAGCTAAAGAAGATTCCATTTGATCTTTCAAAATTTGAATGTTATTCTGTTCATTTTCATCTACTGAATTTTGAATAATTGCAACAATATTTTCTCGAAGTTTTTTATTCGTTGTATTAAAGGCAATACTCAACAAGTATTGCAATTTATCGCAAATGGATTTTTCATTTTGTTTTACACCAGATATCTCCGTTAATAATTCCAAAGCTTGATTAGCATCATCAACAGAAGCCTGAGGACTTAAAATTCGATTGATAATTATTGGTAGAATTCCAGCTAAATTTTCATTCATTTTATCTTTATGAATCAAACGAGTCAAATCATCAATAGAAATCTTCTCGTCGTCTTCAATACATGTTCCAATTTCAATTAAATCAATTTTGAGATCCGGTATTTGACTGAAATTATTTGGTAATATTGGGATCAATGCTTTAAATGCATCGATTCTTAAGTTTGTATCAAATTTAATTAGTGATTCTAATAATTTCACTGCACTTGATATATAATTTTGTTGGCTTTGAATAATATTTTCTAAAGCAGTTTTTCGTTCTTTTAAATTATTCCTTGGATTTTTTAATACATCAATGTCTGTAGGAGTTTTTTCTATTACTTTGATTAAGTTTTGCGCATATTCATTGGTTTTTCCAGCTGTTTTAACTTTAAGAATGATCTCTTCTGGAATTTCATTTCCATTTTGATATTCAAGAAATAGTAAATCAAAAATCTCATCCCCATAAGATTTGTAATTGTCAATTAATTCTCCAATATTTGGAATATCTTTTAAACTGAGTTGCTTATTTTTAATTAATGATTTACTCATCCGAAATAAATTCATTTGGTTGTCTTTGTTCCATGATGATGATTTAACGTATTTCAAGATATTTTCAATAAGAAATTTTGGTAAATTTTGTATTTCTTGTTCAATAATTTCGATGATTATTTCAATAGTTTCGTTTACATGAAAATATTTTTTTAATTCTTCAAAACAATTCAATGTAAGTTGCTGCTTCATTTTGACATGTTTCAAACAATCTCGGACTACACTGGAATCATTTTTGAAACATTTTTCCTCTAATTTAATTGTTTCACTTACATCTTTCATACTCTCTGACTCGATCTCTAACGATTGTAAAATCTCAAATGCTTCTTTGCGTTCTTCCGGATGCGGATTTTCGATCAATGTCTTATGTAGAAATTTCAGCAAACTTGAATTATTTCTAATTTTCAGTTTTCTAGATAATATCAAAACAATTCCCGTCTTCTCTTGTGAAATTTGTGGTAAAATATTATCTAATGTTTGCCCAAGTTCTTCTATTTTGTGTTCAGCATCAGAAAAAATTTTTTCATTAAAATTAAGTATTTTAATAATCGCTAAAGCTACTTGATTATCTACTGTTATTTTTCCAGTATCTAATATTTTCTGAAGTGTTTCTGGAGAAAAAGAAAAGTCTTCTTTATTATGATTTAATTCAAGTTTATCTCCTAATATGATAATCAAATCATTAAAATTCAATTCTTTACTAATTTCAGATATCCTGGCACAATAATCAAGTTTTTCTTGAATGTCGCTTATTTCATTACTGATTCTAATTGACTCATCCTTCAAAGTTTTGAGTTGATTTTCCAATTGATTTTTTTCACTTTCTAACCTTTGTTGTTGATTTTTCTCACTGAATAATTTGAAAAATTCATCAATATCGTTCAGATTGATTTCCTCTGGTATCAATTTATTGATATTAACTAAGAATTCTATTCGATCTCTTAAAGCTAAATCTAAACAACCTTGAACAATCGTATCTCGACTATTTTCATATAGTTTATTATTAAATTCATCAATTTTTTCTTGATATTTATTTCTATTTTCTAAAAAATATTTTTTAATATTTTTCTTAATTTCCTCATTAAATTCTTGCCTTCGATCTTTGAATATGGCTAG